TTTTTTGCTGAGGAAGACGGCCCTGGGCTAACATCTGTGCCCATCTTCCTCCACTTTATATGGGACGCCGCCACAGCATGGCCTGCCAAGCAGCGCGTCGGTGCGCGCCCGGGATCGAACCAGCGAACCCCGGGCCGCCGCAGCGGAGCGCGCGCACTTAACCGCTTGCGCCACCGGGCCGACCCCAAAACACTACACTATCTTAATTACAGTAGCTTTATTACAAACGCTGATATCTGGTACAGCAAGTTTTCTCTCCTTATTCTTCTTCAGGTAGTATGGGATATTCTTGGCCCTTTGTATTTTCACGTTTTTTTTTTACAACTTTATTGAGATATAATTGGTATATGATGAACCACACATATTTAAGTTGTACAATTTGAGTTTTGGCACATGTATACAATCACGAAGCCATGACCGCAATCAAGATAATGAATGTAGCCATTACCCCTAAAAGTTTGCTCATGTATCTTTGTAATCCATCCTTCCCTACCTCCCAGCCCTGTCTTTAGGTAACTATTCATCTGCTTTCTATCACAGTAGGTTAATTTGAATTTTCTAGAACATCATGTAAACAGAATAATACAAAATGATATTTTGTACATACAAAATACATACAAAAAGTATACATTTTTTGGGAGGGAGCTGGCTTCTTTCACTTAGGATAATTATTTTGAGATTTCAGCTATTGATAGACATTGGGTTGTTTACAATTTGGGCTGTTACAAATAATGCTATTATGAACGTTCCTTTATGAGTCTTTGTGTGGAGTGGGGAAAAAAGACCTATCTATCTAGCTAGACCTTTCTAGCAAGATTCCAAACCAAGGAGTTATAAAGACTGATACAACACACGTAATAGTCTAAGGACTAATTTCCTTCGTATCTAAAAACAACTGATAGAAGAATGGGCAAAGAACTATGAACAGTGTTGAATAGAACGTGAACAGAGATGACTGTAGTAAGATATTCATTGCAGAATTGCTTATTATAGCAAAATACTGGAAACAACCTAAGTGACAATTAGCAGGTGATAGTTAAATTATGATACATATCCTATACTGATATGGAATGATCTTCAAGAAGTTTCAGAACAGTGTGTATAGGACACTGTGCTAGAAAGAAAATAAGAGGGCAAATGTATATATTAATGCTCATATATGCATGGATGTCTCTGTAGGGAGAGAGAGACTGACAGTGGTTGCCTTTAAGGAAAGGGGAGGCCTGGAAATAAGGCCTGGCATATACGTAGACTTGCTTTCCACCATATCCCCTATTCTTCTGTGTAAATTTTTTAATAATATGCCTTTATGATCTTTAAATTAGAAACTAAAAATTAAAAGCCTGTCACCCTCTTACAACACCAAAGCATTGATTATTCTTGTCTCCAGGTGGCTTGACTTATAGTGGCTGGTTAATTTTAGGAAGATGCATACCGTTTCAGTGCTTCGGTTTCTTTGTCTATAGATGGGAGTGGTAATAGTACCTAGGCATTAATGACACAATCCCATGAAGTACTTAGAAAAATTCTTGGTGCACAGCAAGCTCTGAATAAGGGCCACCTGTTATGGTGTTCTACAGATAAATAACGCTGAAACGTTAGCCACACTGTAAGTCATTCTGCTGAGATAGAACCATGCAATGAGTGAGGGAGGGAAAACTTGAGTCTTTAGTTTGGATAAGCATCTAAGATCTGTGTCTTTACCTGGTTCTGCCACCACGTCACTTCCTTCTCTGTCTTCTCGGCTCTGTGAACTCTAAGGCTACATCTAGCTCTGGTGTTCTGAGATTGATTCTTCTGGAATTCTGTGATTTCAGGACACCTCCTACCTGTTCATCACTGGCCCTGATGTTGTGAAATCTGTCACCAATGAGGATGTGACCCAGGAGGAGCTTGGTGGTGCCAGGACCCACACCACCATGTCAGGTTAGAGGCCTCAAGTCTCACCCTACCATTTTCAGACACTGAGAAGAGGGCATTGCCAAGGAGAGAATGGTGACAGTCTTTAAAAAATATCACTTAATTGGCAGAATTTATTTGAGATGACTGTGGTATGGTATATTGACTACAGAGGTAGTGATCAAGGTAGATTTAGTATCTCAAATTTAAGACAAATAAAAATGCTTTGATATTCTTTAAAATTCTTAAGCTAACTGGAATGGTGTTATGAGAGTTATGATGTATTTATATATGTATAGTTGAACCTTTAAAAAAATGTTATTGTGACCTTTTTTTACTCCAAAGTTGAGATATGTCTTAGAGAAGATAGCTGTAATGAGGTGGTCATGGCCCATGTGTGCATGAACTTGGTCATAGTTCTTCACCTCTTTGAGATTACGTGCTACACATGCAGAGTTTAAAATGTATAAAGATCATTCTATATTCTATGCTTTGGCGTTGAAACAAAAAGTTATTGTTTATACAGAAAGCCATGGAATTAGCAGCAGGGCATGAATCTGATATTAGTGAAGACATATTTGTCATTGGAGTAATGACAAAAATTTGGAATTCCAAATTTTTTTGGAAAAAGGCATCAAGTTGTGAAAGGATTTCCTATGCTACAGCAATCAGTGTAACTGAAGACAGGAGAAATTGCCTCTTGGAAAGACTTCAGGCAGTGACAGGCTGCTGTGACCGATTTATGCGCCACATTGTACTGTAGTTAAGGCGTTGGGTCATCATTTAGTTGTCAGCATTTTTTTCTTAGTGTAAGTAGAGAGGTGTGTCTTACTATCAGTGAAGTCTTGGATTTGATGAAATATGCTTTTTTTTTTTTTTAAATTCAAAGCTTTTGATTCCCTCCTGCCCACAAAAATTGTACCTCCCTCATCTCAGTTGGCATCAACTTTGTCTCATTCCTTTCCCTCACCCATCAACTCCATTCAGCTCCATCTCCGCCACACATCTAGAATTGAAACACATTTCATCGTGGACTCCCCCACAGCCTGTCATCACACTCTTGTCGCAGGGCTTAATTGGCAGCAGTTTTTCTTTCTTACTGGGATATAAAATAATGTGTTGGGTCTTGATGGTGTTTTAGATTTGATGAAATATGCTCTTTATTTTTCCTGATTTCAATAGTATTATGTACATGTTTGTGGTAGACAATTTAGAAAATACAGGAATAAAAATCATTAGGGATTCCATCATCCATAGATAATTGCCACTCATTTTTGCTTATTCCTCTGTAGTCTTTTCATGCAGATGGATGTGAGTACACACGTATATACTCAAGCGTAGGTGCATAATACTTTTCTGTAGCCTGTTTTTTCACTTGACGCCTTAAAGTATTGAATGTCTGCCCATGACATTAAATTTTCTTCAGCATAATTTTAGTTTTAAAGGCAGCATTTGATATTCTTTCTGGGCCTGAGGCTCTAGGATGGGCTGTGTCTGATGTGCTTAGCTCTGTATCCCCAGAGCAAGACCCAGAAAGTGCTCTATACATATTTTTTCTTTCCTTTTCTTTTGGTAACAGCTTTATTGAGATATAATTCACATACTGTGTATACACATGAAATATCCATTTGAAGTATACACAATTGAATGGTTTTAATATACTTAGTGTTATTCAGTCATCACCACAGTCACTTTCAGAACATTTTCATCACCCTAAAAAGAAACCCCATACCCATTAGCATTTGCTCCCCATTTCCCCCCAAATACTCCAGTTCTAGGCAGTCACTAATCTACCTTTTGTTTCTATGGATTTGCCTATTCTGGGTGTATATGGAATGGACATAAATGGAATCATACAATGTGTAGTCTTTTCTGACATGTTTCTTCTACTTAGCCTAATGTGTTTAAGGTTCATTTATATTGTAGCATGAATCAGTACTTTATTCCTTTTTATTGCTGGATAACATTTCAGTGTATGGATATACATTTTATTTATCTGTTGATAGGTTAATAAATATTTGGGTTGTTTCTACTTTTTGGCATCATGAATATGCAGCTATAAACATCCACGTACAGGTTTTTGTGTGGGCATATGTTTTCGTTTCTGTTGGTTATATACCTAGGAAGGGGATTTCTGGGTCAAATGGTTACTCTGGTTAACTTTTTGAGGAACTGCCAGACTGTCCTCAAGTGGCTGTACCAATTTATAAATATTTCTTGAATGAAAGAATTCTGTCGTGTTGAACATGCTTTTTATTCATTCAGCAAATATTCATTGAGTGCCTATGTCTCAAGCATTGTTCTGTGTGCTAGGGATACGTTTGTGAAAGAGACAAAGATCCCTGCCTATATGGGGCTAATATTCTAGCAGAGGAGATAGACAGTAAGCAATAAACCTTTGTAAATAAATACATTATATAGTATGTCAGAAGGTAATATGTGCCATGGAAAAAGTAGAACAGGGTGAAAGGGTTGGGGTTGTTGCAATTTTAAGTAGAGTGGTAAGGGTTAGGCCTCACTGTGAGGGTGACAGTTGAACAGATTTGAAGGAGTTTAACTGCGTGAATATCTAGGGGAGAAGCATTGCAGGCAGAGGGAATAGCTTATGCAAAGGCCCTGAGGAAGGAGAGTAACTGGCACGCTCAGTGAACGGCAAAGAGGGTGGTTGGAGTAGAGACGTAACATGATCTGACTTAAAGAGCTCACTTTGGCTGCGAGTGCCACGATCCCAGGTGAGTTGCAGGTCAGGCTGTAGGGGCAGCGGTAGAAGCAGGTAGTCTAGTAGGGTGAACTGAGAGAGTTTCTGGCCCTACTTTCTCTGTCATGTCTGTGGCTTTGTTTGGCTGTTGTGTGATTTCAGAGTGTTCTTGAGGAATGATGGCTTGATTCCTCACCAGGGCAAGGTGGTTCCCCTCCTTGCCTTTCACTATTGCTGAGTCCCATGATATTATGTGCCAGCTATTATTCTTATTTAAAAATTTTTTTTCTAGCTTTATTGAGATAATTGACATATAACTAGGCATATTCTTGATGGAGGACTACAGTGGTAAGACAGGTCCGGTTTATCCTGTTGGAGCTGATGTTCTAGGGGAGATGTAGGCAGTAAACAGGGATATAAACAGGTGCTGCAGGGAAAAGTGTGCAAAGAGAACTCCCACATGGTACAGGGATGGCAAGTGAGGGGGTGTGGGGAAGAATGTGTTTCTAGAGAGGGGCCAAAGAAAGCACTTCTGAGTAGGTGACATTAGAGCAAGGAGTGACCTCTGCAGAGGTGTGGATACAGAGCAGAGGGAACAGGCTTCATGAACTGAAGATCAGCCTGAAGGTATGTAGAGTGTGGGGAGGACAGAGCTGTCGGCACAGTCTGCTGTAGCATGGCCTAGCAGGGCAGGCGGGCATGAAGCAGCATCTTTGGGCTGACAGTCTTTGCCCTAGCCCTTTGTAGCCTCCCTTTTTCCTCAGGTGTGGCCCACAGAGCTTTTGAAAATGATGTTGACGCCTTGTGTAATCTCCGGGAGTTCTTCAACTACCTGCCCCTCAGCAATCAGGACCCGGCTCCCGTCCGCGAGTGCCACGATCCCAGGTGAGATGCAGGTCAGAGCACCTTCTGTCATTCACAGGATGGCTTGCACCTCTGTCCCTCTGTGCTCGCAGGACCTCCAGGGTCTGCCCCGTTGGGCAGCTTGGAGCAGACCGTGGAGTGGAGTTCATATGGCTCCCAAGTGTGGGCATGGTGCTGGCACGTCTGGGTACAGGAGCAAAGAAAGATGACTTTATTCACTTTTTTCCTCTCTGTAATATCTGATTAGTAGCTTGGAAGTAAAGAATGGCAAAAAAAAAATTGATTTCAGAGAGACTATTGATTTGTCCAAAATTGGAGATGGAAGTCATTTTTGTGTTTTGACATGAAATAAATAAACGTGAAACGGTGCAGACAATGTGCGCTTTAGGAGATGTGCTTATGCACACCTGCCTGTGGCCTGAGGCTGGGGCAGTCCGGGAAGGGTGTGTTGCTGGCCACCTAGTGAAGGCCTCGTTTCCTTCTTGCTGTTGGAGCCACTGCCTGATGTGGGGGGTACCACAGAGTAAGCCAGAGGCCCAGCCAGGGAACTATTAGTCCAGACCTCTGGCTGCTTCTCCATTTTGTTTCATCTCAGATTTTGAAGCAGTTGGCCTAGACTTTCTTCTGCATAAGGGATTTGGAATTGTATCCCTTGGGAAGAAGCCATTTTTAGATACTACCCTGTGGGGTGGACCTGGGTTCCCACCTGCCTGGCCCTGTTGGGGCCAGGAATGCTCTGAAGAGTCATGTCCCCAGGGTCTCACCCTGTCTGCCTCTGCCCTACTCCTCAGGGGACACAACCAGTGGTCCATTATATGTAGTTGTGAAAAAGGATGGTCACAAAGCCCAGAAGAAGCGAGCACAGCCTCCTTTTCTGAGCATCTTTACTATTTGGGGTCCTTGAAAGGTTTAGGACATTATTTGAAGTGTTATGGCCCAGGGGCCCAGAAATGTCTCAATAGCCTGGTTTGGCCCAACTGTATCTCCTCTCTGTACCATCCCAGCTGTCTGCATATGCATAAACAGCAAATAAAAAGTAAGGGAGGACTTGATTATCGGGTGAGGTACCCCAGTGCATAGCTCTCTGGGAAGTTCTGCTTGATGGAGCATGTGGCTTGACCCAAGGCCAGACCTCAGCCCAGGTGCACCTCTCAGCATCAGAACAACCTCTGCCTGTCCACGTGGGGCAGGAAAGGTGGGCCCTGGCTCCGGCTTCCTCCTCAGCCACATAAACACAGGAGGAAGCCGAGAGCCATGAGCCTGTGTGACTGTTTAGTCCTCAGTGATTCTGCCCACCAGGGGGCCTGCAGTTTTGCTTTTTAAAGGAGCTCTAGCAGGTTTACCTTCCAACAGGGAACGTGAACCCACAGCAGTTTCAGCAGAACTCTGACTTTGCATTTCCTAGTCCTTGTTATTTTATTTTTGATGTCTCAAGACCTCCCAGGACCTCCCAGGGCAGTGTCTTGTTCACTACAATGCCCTTGTGCCCCATAGAGTACCTGGAATGTAGGACGTATTCGGAGAGGATAAATGAAGGAATCACATTCAGGGGAATAAGCTCATTTTCTCCTCTAAATAAAAACAAAGATCTTTTGGGTTAATATCAAGCTCAAGTTCAGTGTAATATGGTAGTAGCAAAGGAATGCATCTTTGGGGACTGCTTTGCGAACCCAGCAGGTTCAGTCCAGCCCCCAGGATGTGTCTCCCCTTCTTCCCTCTCTTCCTCTTCCATCTCCCACCCACAGAAGGCAACTGGCTCTTCTGATATTGATTGTATCTGCTTCTTTTTCTATCTAAAGTGACCGTCTGGTTCCTGAGCTTGACACAGTTGTCCCTTTGGAATCTACCAAAGCCTACGACATGGTGGACATCATACACTCTGTAAGTGCTGCATCTCACCTGTGCTACCTTGGCCATGTCCATGGTCACTGTGCTTTGGTTTAGTGAGGATGTCTTGGACCCACAGGCCTTAACATTGGGCAATGCAGGCAGAACATGGGCGGGCACGGGACCAGGGGCCACCGAGTAGTGTGTTCTGGGAAGAGCTAGTGACTATAGCCACCCTGGTGGCTCAGATGAACTTGATGGCTGGAGGGAGGAGGAGCCGTTTGGGCCAGCAGAGCTCAGGGGTCTTTAGATAGCACTCTGAGGTGCATAGAGAAGGGGCCGTGTCCCCAGAGTCTGGAACTGAGGCCAGGGTGACTCTTTGTTAGGTACCTTTGTTTGGAGCCTTATGCTCAGAGGGCATCTTGTCTTTCTAGAGAAAGGAGAGTATACAAGGTGTATCCTATGACAAAGTCGAGGGGTGTGTGTGTGTGTTTAGGTTTGGGGAGGATGGGAGTCATTTGTACCTTTTTTTGGTGTAGTACATTCCTGGGTCATTTGGTAAAGGAGGACAGTGTTGGGGCAAACTGGGGGCATCTGTCTCCCTTACCCTCACATATGTACACTGTGCTCTTAGGAGTCTTTGCTTAACGGCGCCTCTGTGGGCACAGGCTCTCCCAGAGCCCTGGCTCTCGCAGGGACCTGTTCCTTCTCTTCCTGTGCTCTGGGGAGCCAGCAGGAGTCAGCAGTCATGGCCAGACTCTGCCCCTCCCCATTGCTGGATTCTGTAGCCTGTTGAGCACCTTTAGAGCAGTGAAGACTTGACCCTTCTACCAGCATGCCCTTCTCTGACCTCAGCCTTCAGTACTCTCGCCACCTTCACAGCTGTCCCTGTCCCTCCACCTCTGCTCCTTGACTCTCCAGCCCTCAGTCTCCCCATTCCTCTGCAGCCGTCAGCCCCTCCTGGCCTCTGTTTTCTTGGCCCACCTGGGACTCTGCCATTTTACCAAGTATTAATGGTCAGGCACTGTTCTCAGCGCTGGCGCTATATGATACTGTGATGGACAAAATCCCTGCCTCAGAGACCTCACATTTGAGTGAGAGAGAGAGAGAACTAAAGCATACATGGCATGAGTAATGAGGTCCAGAAATGCTATGAAGAAGGGTCTCTGTCCTCAGCACCCCTGATTCTCCTTTTGCCCTGTAGAACCCTGTGCCTGCTTCAAGGCTTCAGCCATCCATCCAAATGCTGCCTAGGGGGCCCGAAGCTGCTGGAGGAAAGCCCCAAGAGCCCTACTCCGGCCTTAGCTGGGCCCCCGGTGTGCCTCTCTGGCTCGAATATGTGCTGTGGGCCTCCCCTCAGCACCTGTTCTTGTCTTCTTCACTTTTCCTAAGGCCTGATCCAGCCCCTTACTTCTTTCTCCACTACTCACTCTGATCAGATGACATAGGCATTTTCTTCATGGAGAAAATTGAGAGCATCAATTTTCTTTTTTTTTTAAAGATTTTATTTATTTATTTTCCCCCCAAAGCCCCAGTAGATAGTTGTATGTCATAGCTGCACATCCTTCTAGTTGCTGTATGTGGGACGCGGCCTCAGCATGGCCGGAGAAGCGGTGTGTTGGTGCGCGCCCAGGATCCGAACCCGGGCCGCCGGCAGCGGAGCGTGCACACTTAACCGCTAAGCCACGGGGCCGGCCCAAGAGCGTCAATTTTCTTACTCCCTATAGGTGAGCATTTCTCCATCTCCACTGTCCTTCCCATGTCTCCCCAGGCTCTAAGAATGAGGTGCCTCCACCTGGGCTCTTGATTCCATTCCTCTACATCTAAGGTCTTGCTTTCTTGACTGGTTTTTATAAATCCCTAATTACTTCTCCCTCTCTTAACTCCTTCCTCTTAGCAATAAATGTGTATGAACATGTATAGATTTCTTGTCTGCTAAAAAAAAAAAAAAAAACCATCTTAACCCATAACTCTATTTAACTGCTGTCCAAATTCTTTTCTTCATTTTCTTTCAAATTACTCTTGTCTCTTCTTCCTTTCCTTCCCACTGGAATCTGACTTCTGGTTTTCTCCCTCTGTTGAATGACACACCTCCAAAAGGACCTCTCTAATTGCTAAATCCAGGGGACTAAGGGCATTAAAAAAGTATGGTTACAGAGGTAACCATTATAAAAACAAAAACAAAAAAAATCTTCCTAAGTAACAAAAAATTATAGAAAAGACCAAATAAAATGCATCACATAGAGAAACAGAGAAGGCTCCCTGGTGCTTTCTTCCAGTCACTGTTTTCCCCCAAACCCCTAAGGGAAGCCATCGTCCTGAGTTTTAACAGTGTGAATTAGTTTTTCCTGTTTTTGTGTGTTATATAAATGGAGTCACACAGTATATGGTCTTCTGTATCTGGCTTCTTCCACCATTGTGTTTGTGAGATATGTCCATGTTGTTGCATATTGTTCTTGTTGGTCTCTTTATAGTCTTGTGTGTGAACAGACCACAGTTTATCTACTGTTAGTGGGCATTTGGGTACTTGCTGCTTTGGGGCTATTACAAATACTTCTGGTATGAACATTCTAGGATGTGATTGTGGTAAATCAAGTACACATTCCTGTTGGATCCATACCTAGGAGTAAAAGAACCATGTCATAGGTTAGGCATACATTCAGCTTTAGCAGATATGGCCAAGGGGTTTTCCAAAGGAATTACACCATGTGCACTCCTGCCAGCAGCATATGGGGGTTCCAGTTTCTTCACATTCTCACCAACACTTGGCCAATATCATGCTGTTTTAGTTATTGAGACTTTATAGTATGCTGTCACATCTGGTAGGGATAGTTCCTCTTGATTATTCTTTTTTCAGAGTTTTCTTGGTTAGTCCTGCTTATTTTTCCGTATGAACTTTTGAGTCAGTTTGTCTTATTTTAAGGTGTGGAAGTAGGGAATCCTCTTGTTGTTTTTATTGGGATCCTGTTAAATTTATGAACTAACTTGGGAGAATTGACATCCTTATGAATCCGAAGTAACCTAAAAACATAGTTCATATTTTTATTTGTTAAAGTGCAGTTTTTTCCCCTTGAAGATTAAAGTTTTCCTTGTATGGATTGTTCACATTTCTTGTTAAGTTTATTCCTAAGTATCTTATCTTTTTATTGTAAATGGGGTCTTTTCTATCTTCTAACTGGTGAAAGCTATTGATACTGTTTATCAATTCTATATCCTGTTACCTGTTAAGTTCTCTTATTTGTAATAGTTTTTTACTGTTAATTCTTTTGGGTTTTTCAAGTGTACTAATATACTGTCTACATATATATAAATAGTTTTATCTTTTCCTTTCCGATTATTTTATGTCATTTCTTTCTCTTGTCTAATTGTGTTGTCTGTACCTCTGTGTTTTGTCAAATGCAATGATGATTAATGGTTGTGATAGTGGGCCTCTTTGTCTTGTTCCTAACTTTAGAGAGACTAATTTTACATCTTTTTTTAATGTTAAGAAAGCTATTTTAATTTTTGTTGTTGTGTACTTGTTTTTTAAAATCAGGGATGAGTATTGAATATTGTTAAATGCCCTTTCAGCATTTATGGAGATGATCACATGATTTTTCTCCTTGGATCTGTGTATAAATGTCTGAATATTGAACTAGTCTTACACTCCTAAAGTAAACCCTACTTGTTATATTTTTTAATGCTTTATTTTGAATTTTTGCATCGATATCATGTGATATTAGCTGATTTTTTTTTTTTGAGGTGTTTTTAAATCGGTTTTTGGTATCAATGTTGTGCTTCTTTCATGCATTAGTCTGCTAAGGTTGCCATAACAAAATACCACAGACTGGTGGATTAAACAACAGAAATTTGTTTTTCTCATAGTGCTGGAGGCTAGAAGTCCAGGATCAAGGTGCCAGCAGGGTTGGTTTCTGGTGAGACCTCCCTTCGTGGTTTGCAGATGGCTGCCTTCTTGCTGTGTCTTGATGTGGCCTTTCTTTTGTGTGCATAAGGAAAGAGACATCTCTGGTGTCTCTTCCTCTTCTTATAAGGACAATGTGTCCCATCGGATTAGGGGCCCACCCTTATGACCTCTTTTACTTTTAATTATCTCCTTAAAGGCCCTGTCTCCAAATATAGTCGCATTGGGGCTAGGCTTCAACTTAGGAATTTTGCGGGGGACACAGTTCAGTTCATAAAGTACCTTAAAAAGAATTTGCAAGTTTTCTATGCTCTGGAACAATTTAATATAGCATTGGGATTATTTGCTTTTTAAAGATTTAGTAGAAATTCTCCTGTGAGCTTGTCAGAGCCTATGGGTTTTGTGGGGGGTGGGGGGGTGGGAGGAACAGCTTTTTGATAACTTCCTCTGGTCTTTAGTGTTAATACGTCTCTTGAAAATTTATCTTTGCTGGGGTCAGTTTTGGCAGAGTATGTATTTTTTTTCTATAAATTACCTGTTTCTTCCAGGTTTTCAATTTTGTCTGCATAGGGTTGTGCACAGTAGTCTCACAAGATTAGTGAAATCTATTTCAGTGGTTTTCTCCTCTGACATTTCTTGTTTTATGTTATCTTGATAGGTTACCTACTGGTTTATCTATTTTATTCTTATATTTCAGAGTCAACTTTTTCATTTAATTTTTACTTTTTTAAAGTCTGGTATTTTCCGCTTTTATATTTGTTAATTTCTTTTCTACTTTCTTTCAGTTTATCTTCTTGTTTTTCTCCCCCCTCAAGCTTCTGAGTTACAAGTTTAATATATATTTTATTTCTGTCATTTTTGATATTGTAGTTAAGTCCATTGTAGAGAATGTAGTCAAATAGCCACATCTAACTGCAGGGGTGGTGGGGCTAGGAAGTATGATAGCCATTTGCCCGTGATTTCTGTTAACAGTGGTAGAATAGAAGTGCAGGCTGGATTTTTGGTGGATACTTAGCAGTCTCTGCTACACTCTCGTAATGCTTTTTAAATAAAAGCAAATAATATGTACATAAGAAAAAACTTTTTAAGTACAGAAACATAAAGCGAAATGCAAATCTCTCTTCTATGTTCGTATCAGTCTTCTTTCCCGGAG